GTTTAATTCAAGAATTTTTTTTTGTAAACCATTATTGCGACCCTTCATATTCGCACCATTATCGTAACCCTGCCCCCTTAAATCTCCTAAACAAATGTTGTGAGTCTCCAAAAAATCCAATAAAACATTGGTTAAGCCTTGTCCTGTCGAATCTGATATTGAAATGAATCCCAAAAAATGCTCCCTAATTTCTATTTGCTTTGATTTATTATTTAATAAAACAAACCTTACTACAACAGTAAGTTGGTCTTTGTGACTTACATCAGGAGTCGAATCTAAAATAATAGAAAAATATTTACTAGCTTTTAACATAGATATAATTTCATGTCTTATTTTCTCTCCCAGAAGGGAAATTAGTTCGTTTTGAATATGAACACCTAAATAATGAGGCATATTTGATGGAGTCCTTCTAATCCTGTTAATATGATCGGATATCGTACCATTAAAGTTTGCAATTGTTTCAATTAATTTTAAAAAGTTTCCATTTTGTTGCTCATATATCTTGTTATTTTCACCCCTAAAACTCAAATTTTGACCGGCTAAAAATTTAACAACATAAATTATAATTTTTAAAACAGAAACCCATCTATCTTTTTCCGTGTTTATTAATTTCTCATTTAGTGAATCAGTTGTCGTTTTAGAAGAAATTGATTGTTTTAGATCAATCCAAGATTTTGTATTACAAATGTGACCTTTTGATTTTTCATGTCGTTCTATAACCTGACTTAAATGTCTCCAATCATTATAACCCTCAACTAAACCACTAGAAAAAGTTTTAAATATTTTGCAAGGAAAACAATATACACAGTCTTTTGATTTAGAATACACCAGCCAAACTCTTGGAATTATTTCCCCATTACACAGTTTTTTTTTTATAATAAATAGACGAGAAACCTCTATTGTATTTATTTAAAGGAAACGTTATATCAGCTTCTGTCAGTTGGGTAGGCCCTAAGTCTATCAGAGTTAATTTAATTTTATCCAATAAAACACCAGGCCAATAGTTAGGATCCTCATGAACATGAAGATTTTCATTTTCAAAACTTACTTCTTCAGGACTTTGTTCTTTTAATAAAACACCTGCTTCCATTGTAGTTTTGGTATTCGACGAGTCCTCCTTCTTTTCCCCGCTACTGACCACTATGAATTCGGTCTCCGTCACATTTACATCTCGAGCTTGGGAACTTGATGGTGCCTCCTGTGATGTTGTTGAGATTAAAAACGTTTCGAGTGAACCACTAGCCTTTTTAACTAATTCTTCCTTTTCACGCTTTCTTTTTCTGTACTGTGCGCCAGAAAGCCTTTTTCGATTATCAGACATCTACCAAAAAAAAAGAATCCAAGTTATGATTCGTGGAAAAAATTTTGTTTTCGAAGATTTAAAGAGGCATAAATTAATTAAGCTTTGTTTTTCGAAAAATACCAACTTTTGAAAGGAAACTTTACAAAATTTTTTATTTTGTCTGAAAATTTCAACATTTTTAATCAAAACAAAAAAATATTAAGATTATGCTAATCTTTAATTAAACTATATTTTACTAATAAAAAAAAAAAAAAAGTTTTACTATTGTTATTATGTTGGTATTATAATTTTACTTATAAATTTGTTACACAATATAAATTTAATTTAACAAAATATTATTTAAATTTTATTTAACCGCGCAAAAGCAAAATATAATCAAATTAATGTATGTACTCACCTTTAATTTTTACTGTCTCTCTAACCACGATATTAAACAAAAACTTTTTAAGCTGTTGCGATTTACACGATTACACGTTTAAAATTAAAATAAAAGAAATTATCCCGGTGCTTGCATTTCTATGCTTTGACCACAGACGAGTATTTTCCTGTAAAATCTTCCTCGCGACCGACGTGAAAAATAGCTTAAGACGAGTTAAAACAAGAAACTGTTATACTTGCCACTGGTTGTGGCCTGAATAAGTTGTGTATATAAAATTTGAATTTGAAATATAATTAATAATATTTAGAATAGTACATATATTCAAATAATATTAGAATAGTAGTATTTAAATGATAATATTTAGAATAATATTTATGTATTATATTAATTTAATGATAAATTAATTTTTCCCTTTTTTTTAAGGCGGCTCGCGCCGCCCCCTAGGCTTACCGCCCGGGTGCCCAGCACCCTCTGCACCCCCGGGTCGGAACGGCCCTGATTAAATGAACGACAGTTTGAAAACGTTATTTTTCTTAACACGCTTTATTTATTTTGACAATCTAGGCACAGAGAAACACAATACAGTAGATTAAGAACAAAACGAACGAATACAGAATAAATATTAGCTATATATAATATACTGTTTAATTTTATTTTTTAAGGCTTAAAAATGAAACGTTAATTTTCTACAATAATTAGCGTTGAAATCAAGAAAACGTTTACAATATTCTGAAAATGGTAATTATTAGCGATTATTTTTGCAACAAAGTGGAATTTCGAGATAAATTTAAAATGTGCGCAACGAAAGAAATGCACTTGTTATCTCCGCCTTTCAAAATGTCCCGAACTTGCAACAGAACGTTGAAGGCGGAGTAGAGCGAACTGTACACCTATTAACCAGAAAAAGAACAATTAATTTTTTTCTATTTTTTTCACGTTTTAAAATCTTTACAGCTGTAAATTAATTGCTACAGAACTCGAATTAATACTCTACGTATGTTTCTTATATTTGATAAACTTCCATATACCACCTTTACCGGACATCCCTTCGACACAACGAAATAACCACCGCAACTAAATCCCAGTTCGTTTTCTCGAAATTTTTTCATGAAATCCAACATCTGAATAAATAAAAATTTTAATAATTAAAAGAAATAAGATTATACGAGTACAGTTTTATTTATAATTTTTGAAAATACAATAAGCTTACTTTTATTTTGTCTTCTACCGCCAAACGAGCGGAAGCGAAGATTCTTATTTCTTGAAAAGAATCATAAACCTAAACATATAAAATTAAAAAATGTTATTGAAAATATAAAATTGATACAAATTCTTATTCTGCCCAACAGAACTTACGAATGCCGAAATACGGGAAATAGCAAAAGAAAACAACAATGCCAGAATAATGCAAACGACGGTGCCGAAACATAATAATAGCCGAAAAATTATATTCAGTTCGACGAAAATAGAATGGTAGATAAGTAAGGCTAAGCTATAAATTAATATGCCAAATAATACGAAAAATAGCTCCTTCCATTTATTATTTATCTGATTTATAAGATCATAAATCTCTGCATGCTTCGAGATGATTTCGTCCACGTCATACTTTGCGCATCTATTTCTGGTTAATTGTAATTGTTTCGCTAACTCTCTGAATCTCTCCAGTATCAGAAGGCCTACTGATAACGCTGCCGGTATCACCCATAAATAAAATGCCATTTTGTAAGAACCAAATACAGTAAACCAAAGAGAGCAAACAAGTCCTCGAAAAAAGCTCGAATCCTTTTCTACTGCCGGAAACAAAATAAGCGAGGAAATCAAAGCGAAAGTAATGAAAAGTAACAGAAAGAAAACACCGAAAACTCCTAACATTACCAATTGATACCGAAACAATTTATCCTTCTCACCGGTGTAACTCGATATTTTCATGTCAAAACTTATTTTTTTCCTACCCATATGTATGCAAAGAATGCAACCAATATTAATGAAATAAATGACCATTTTCATAAAAAGATGCATTTCTTTACCGTTATGTCTTTCCGTAGGACTACAGAAAACAACATTCTCTTTAGATGCAAGACTCTGAACGACAAATGCAATTGTTTGAGAAACAAACAATATCAGAATGCATTTCCTGTAAAATTCTATTAATTTTGATTGCCTAGCGTTCAACTTGTGACAATCGCAGCGTTTATAAAAAATATCGCCAAAAGCTATAGAGATAGAAATTATGGGATAAAGCATACAGTAAACACAATTCTCCGCCATATTGCGTCTAACAAGAAGCAACGGAGCTTCTTACTCTATAACATTTCTAATTTACTACTCTAAAGCTGTTTTCTAGAAACAGCGACGATTGTCCCTTCTCCTTCCACGTGTATTCGCTTATATCAGAACGCAAATAAGCGAAATAGTTTACTCATCTATGCGCTGTGCAGAATTTTATGATCGCAATGTAATCGATCAGCATCAATTTTATTTGAAACGAGTTTATTTTTCCGAATGAATATTCTATTTCTAGTTATAAATAATGGAATTCGATTCATTTTTTAATAATAGATAAGATGTTATTAGATTGGACTGGCTTGAATCGATTGAATTAAGGAAATGCAACACTTGGGCGATCTGCAAAGGAGGATAGTCTCCTTGCAGGACTTTCTTGGAAAAATTAGATCCTATTTAGGTATTTTTATAGAAAACTGGATTCTGTGTAGGTGTTAAATACGCGAAGAAAACCCGGATAATTCCATGTAACCGGCCCGTTGGTGAGGCGAATACCTGCGACTAGTATATCTACTCGGCTACTGGCTAGCCAAATTAAACAAAATCTGTCTTTGAAGTATTAACAGTAAAGAAAGAATAAAAACGCCAATTTTGTTATTTTATTGAATTTTACTTGTAAAACAATCGCAATCATTTAATAAGAATAATATTGATTATAAAGAACGTTGATATTTATATACAAGATACACGAGATATTTATTGATATTTATACAAGATCTTATATAACTTTGAAAAAGTGTATTAAATCACACGGTTTATATCTTTATATAACTGTGATATTCGAAATATCTTGTTATCGTTATATAAATAGAAAATTTTCATAATGTGTCTAATAATTTTTTTATTACAAGATTTTATTTAATTAAACATTTCGAAATGATTACCTTATTTACTCTAACATAAAACGATCTCGCATATCGGACGAGGTGTGACTTTAAAGATCAAAATAAAAAAAATTAGATTTATTAATACAATTCTAATATTATTTCGTTTAATCACAAGTAAACTACCAAATGAACGTAAATGCCAGTGGCATAGCGAACATAACTGGCGCCCGGGGCACGACACTTTATTGGCGCCCCTCCCTCCCTTCAGAAACACATATAGTTTGTCTTGGAGACCATTTGGGCGCCCCTCTGCGATTGGCGCAAGGTGCATGATACAGCCGCTTGCATCCCCCCTCGCTACGCTACTGGTAAATGCACACACTGTTACGCAAAAATTACTAGCATTTTACACTTTAAGGAAAAATCTTGTAAAATCGACAACATAATTTGTTTATCTAAAGCCGGACAATCCGGATAATTTTTTTTTGCCAATTTTTACAATTCTTAACAGTCAAATTAACTCTTCGTCTATTACATTTTCTTCCAATTCTGATTTCCAAATAATCATCTGTTTTCACGTGTTGAATGAATTAAAACTTATATCGGGCTCTCGTGTAATTTTGGAATTCAATTGAAAAGCTTTGCTTTTCCTATTGCTATTCATCTTTACTTTCGACAATACACATGAACTATTCAAACGACCCAGATAAAATACTTTTGTTTTTAAACATCAAAAGGTGAGAATCCGGAAAACATCGAGGTTTTCACTTGTCTTTGTACTAGAAATCCCAGAAAGATTTCTTCTTCGAGGTGATAGGAAAAGCAATAACGATTCGAAACAATTGTTAGATAAGTATGAAGTCTCATTGCGTCAAACTTTACAGAGAACTACTGTATTGTAATTTTGTTCTATTTTTACTTTCTCGGCTGTTATATAAAACAAAGAGAAAGTATGGCGTTCGGTCAAAAAATAATCCCCAAAATGTTTACATTTTTGCACTTAAGACATCTTAAAACGTGAAAAACAAACCGAGTGTAATTTCTGTATGTATAGATGTCAGTGTGTGTGTGTGTGTGTGGTAGGATTTTGTTTCCTTGTTTGAAGCTTAATAACTCCTGTGCCTGCAGTCGAAAATTTCTGAAATTTTGTAGGAAGGTTCAGTTTTTAGTGGGATTGATGCCGTTAAATTTTGGTGATTAAAGTTCGACGGGGTGGGGAGATAATAAGGATCGTGTGTATTTCTAGTAGGGTTGAACTTGATGACGATTTAACTCGTTATTAGCATTTACAATGTTTTACAAAACTTATCTCTACCTTCAGAATTAAGTGTTTTGTCATTTCATAACAGCTAAAAATATTAAAATTCTAGCTGCAAGGACCCGCTTCTCTGGGTTTTTATTTGTTCGTACATTTGTATGTAATATAGTTTTTTTTTTATATATAAAAGACTGTTTTTCTAAGTAATATAGAATCTAGCTGCAAGGACCCGCTTCGCTGGGCAAAAAGTAAAGATAGTGAAGATTAAGATAATTACATTATAGCCAATCTTACCCGTTTTCACAGAATGCAAGAATTAGGTCCCCCGTTTCCAGACTAATTAGAGAATTTTTACGTCCAGTCAAACGAACTATTTTCAATTTGATCAATTTTCTGGAACGTTTACAATCGTTCTAAATCGAACAAATTCGAATTTGAATTCGAATTCGAAAATTTTTAAAATCGAAATAGAAAATCTTCCACTTTCAACCACTTTCAAGCCCATATCTCCCGCACCCTTATAGCTATCGAGACGCAACCACCATAGTGCACGAATGAAGACTTGGGGCTACTAGCACATACAAACAGCATTCATGTGCGATGTGTAGTTTTGGCGGAAAAGTGAAATATAGGGACATACATGTCCATTTATATATATTCCGCCAAAACTACACATCGCACGTGAATGGTGTTTGTATGTAGTGGTAGCCCCAAGTCTCCATTCGTGCACTATGGGGGTTGTGTCTCGATAGCTATAAGGATGCGGGAGATATGGGGCTGAAAGTGGTTGAAAGTGACTTTCTATTTCGAATGTTTTGTTCGAATTTGTTCGAATTAAATTCGAACATAAAATTCGAATATTGCTTCGATTATAGAACGATCGTAAACGTTCCAGAAACGTTGAAAATAGTTCGTTTGATTGACGTGAACAGGAGACGTTCAGAAATAGAATCGGGCTCAGG